CCTCGCACGTTTCGTGGCCCCGTAGAGGGGCTCCACCGAAGGTCCAGTGCTGCCGCCCGCATGCGTCCCGCACACCCATTTCGGCACACCCCTCACGCGTTTCGTGACCCCTCGCACGTTTTGTGGTCACATAGGGAGCTCCACCGAAGGCCCCAGTGGGTGTGCCCGCATGCGTCCCGCACACCCATTTCGGCACACCCCTCGTACGTTTCGTGGCCCCGTAGGGGGCTCCACCGAAGAAGATATTCACAACTGCGGTACTCACAATTGCATATGGTTGGGTCCTTCGCCAGGATAACTTTTGCGGAGGCTCCTCCTTGGAAAGCCTCTGGGGGCCTCACAAAAGTTGTTTCAAGCTTTCTTAAGGCCTGCTGGAGGCTTCCTGGGCGTATTCTGGGGGCCTCTGGGGGCTTCCTCGAGCCACCCTGCCTCCAACCGCGGTCTCCCTCAACGACTGGGTCACGATTTGGAATGTGTCGGAGGGTGTCTTGGGGTCATCTTGGGCCGCCATGGGGCTCTCTGAGGGCCATCTTGGACCCGTGATGTGCCATTTTGGTGCTCTCTTGGACTGCCTGGAAGCTCCGAAAAGAGGAGAACACTAAAATCCACCAACATCCAACAGAAAATCAATGATTTGTGCCTCTTGGGGCCTTCTTGGGAGTGCTCTTGGAAGCCTCTTTGGGGCCGTCCTGGAGGCCTCTTGGGCCATCTTGAGGTCACGTCGGTCACTCTTGGAGCGCTCTTGTGCTGTCTTGGGGGTCTCTGGGGCGTCTCCGATGACCCCCCGCCCTAGGTGTGCTGGGAACGCTTGGCAAAACGCCCTGCGAGGCCTGGGGGGCCGCTTCGAGGCCTTTCCGGAGGGTCCCAAAGCCTCAGATCCCGGGAGTCCGGTTTTGGGGGTTGGGGTCCCCCTGTCCGGGCTTGTAAAATTAGCCTGGCGAAGAACCCAACCATATGCAGTTGTCAGTACCGCAGCTGCGGGCTTCATCTTCAGTGGAACCCCATAGGACCACGGAGCGTGTGAGGGGTGTTCCGAGATGGGTGCCACTGGGGCATTCGGTGAAGCTCCCGATAGGGACATGAAACACGCGCGGGGCGTGCCGATATGGGTGGCGGAAACGCATGTGCGGGCCGCCACTGGGGCCTCCAGTGGAGCTCCCTATGGGTCTCCGAAACATGATGCTGCTGCGGGGGGTGTGCCGGGATGGGTGGCAGAGACGCATGTAAGCGCCGCTACTGGGGCCTTCGGTGGAGCTCCCTATGGGGCCACGAAGCGCGTGAGGGGTGTACTGGGATGTGTGGCGGGGACGCATGTGAGCGCCGCCACTGGGGCCTTCGGTGTAGCTCCCTATTAGGCCACGAAGCGTGTGAGGGGTGTGCCGAATTGGGTGCGGGTGGTGACGCATGCAGGCGGTGCCACAGGGGCCTTGGGTGGAGCTCCTTATGGGGCCACGAAACCTGTTGTTGTGAGGAGCGTGCCGGGATGGGTGGCGGGGACGCATGTGAGCGCGGCCGCTGGGGCCTTCGGTGGAGCTCCCTATGGGGCCACGCAACGTGTGCGGGGTGTGCCGAATTAGGTGGGTGTGGGTGACGCATGTGAGCGCGGTCACTGGGGCCTCCGGTGGATGATGGGGCCACGGCACCTGCGAGGGATGTGCCGAAATGGGCGTGCGGGGCGCATGCGCATGTGAGCGCCGCCGCTGGGGCCTTCGGTGGGGCCACGAAACGTGTGAGTCCCTATGGGGCCACGAAACGTGTGAAGGGTGTGCAGACTTCGGTGTGCGGGACGGATGTGGGCGGCAGCACTGGGGCCTTCGGTGGGGCTCCCTATGGGGCCACGAAGCGTGTGAGGGGTGTGCCGAATTGGGCGTGCGGGACGCATGCGGGCGGCAGCACTGGGGCCTTCGGTGGGGCTCTCTATGGGGCCACGAAACGTGTGAGGGGTGTGCCGAATTGGGTGTGGGTGACCCATGCGGGCGGCACCACTGGGGCCTTCGGCAGGGCTCCCTATGGGGCCACGAAGCGTGTGAGGGGTGTGCCGAATTGGTGCGGGTGACGCATGCGGGCGGCAGCACTGGGGCCTTCGGCGGAGCTCCTATGGGGCCACGAAACGTGTGAGGGGTGTGCCGAATTGGGTGTGGGTGACGCATGCGGGCGGCAGCACTGGGGCCTTCGGCGGAGCTCCTATGGGGCCACGAAACGTGTGAGGGGTGTGCCGAATTGGGTGGGGGTGACGCATGCGGGCGCAGCACTGGGCCTTCGGCGGGATCCTATTGGGCCACGAAACGTGTGAGGGGTGTGCCGAATTGGGTGTGGGTGACGCATGCGGGCGGCAGCACTGGGGCCTTCGGCGGGGCCCCTATGGGGCCACGAAACGTGTGAGGGGTGTGCCGAATTGGGTGTGGGTGACGCATGCGGGCGGCAGCACTGGGGCCTTCGGCGGAGCTCCTATGGGGCCACGAAGCGTGTGAGGGGTGTGCCGAATTGGGTGTGGGTGACGCATGCGGGCGGCAGCACTGGGGCCTTCGGTGGAGCTCCCTATGGGGCCACGAAACGTGTGAGGGGTGTGCCGAAATGGAGGAGGGAGGAGGGAGGAGGAGGAGGAGAGGAGAGGAGGAGAGGAGAGGAGAGGAGAGGAGAGGAGAGGAGAGGAGAGGAGAGGAGAGGAGAGGACAGGAGAGGACAGGAGGACGCGGGGACCGTTTCTTCAAAACGAGGACCCAACACCACAGGATGGTTGGAAATAAAAGAAGAGGAGGCGTGCTAAGATCTCCGGTACCTGGTTAAC